AGCCATGGTCGCGGACAGTCAAAAAAGAGCTTAAAGGGACGTCACGTGGTCCGGATATGTCCAATCAGCGGCACGGACGGATGTTACTCGGGTTAACTCTCACTCGACCAATCAGAGGACGAGAAGTTGTTTTACTCTGAGAGAAACATCAACCTGCGAACCTCCATCAACCTGTTTGTTTTACTCAATGCCCTACTTTACTTTTTTGTGTATTTAGATACAGATAAATAGAATATTGCTATGTTTTGCTATGTACATTATTGTATAAAAAGGGAAATTATTATACTGAATATTAGGACAAATTGTTGTCTGTCTGTCTTTCTTTCCATCCATCATCTATCTATCTATCTATCTATCTATCTATCTATCTATCTATCTATCTATCTATCAGTCCGTCTGTAAATGTTGAACAGTGTTGGACTCAGGCTACAGCCCTGCTGCACTCCTCTTTTCTGGGTGAAGAATTCTGTATGTTTGTTGCCAATGCGGATTGCACATTTGTTGTTTGAATACATTGATTTTATAATGTCAAAAACTTCACCCCCTACACCACTTTGTAAAAGCTTATAATATAATCTGTCGTGCCAAATAGAATCAAATGCTTTTTTTAAATCGATAAAGCATGCAAATATTTTTCCATTTTTGGTGTGTTTTACGTGTTTATTACTTTATATATGTTTTCTAAATGTTTTGTCCAAATAGCTCCATCTTGTATTGGTAGGTCTTGTCTGTCTATCTATCTATCTATCAGTCCGTCTATCTATCTATCTATCTATCTATCTATCTGTCTGTCTGTCGGTCTGTCTGTCTGTCTGTCTGTCTGTCTGTCTATATCTATCTATCTATCTATCTATCTATCTATCTATCTATCTATCTATCTATCTATCTATCTATCTATCTATCTATCTATCTATCTATCTATCTATCTATCTATCTATCTATCTATCTATCTATCTATCTATCTATCTATCTATCTATCTATCTATCTATCTATCTATCTATCTATCTATCTATCTATCTATCTATCTATCTATCTATCTATCTATCTATCTATCTATCTATCTATCTATCTATCTATCTATCTATCTATCTATCTATCTATCTATCTATCTATCTATCTATCTATCTATCTATCTATCTATCTATCTATCTATCTATCTATCTATCTATCTATCTATCTATCTATCTATCTATCTATCTATCTATCTATCTATCTATCTATCTATCTATCTATCTATCTATCTATCTATCTATCTATCTATCTATCTATCTATCTATCTATCTATCTATCTATCTATCTATCTATCTATCTATCTATCTATCTATCTATCTATCTATCTATCTATCTATCTATCTATCTATCTATCTATCTATCTATCTATCTATCTATCTATCTATCTATCTATCTATCTATCTATCTATCTATCTATCTATCTATCTATCTATCTATCTATCTATCTATCTATCTATCTATCTATCTATCTATCTATCTATCTATCTATCTATCTATCTATCTATCTATCTATCTATCTATCTATCTATCTATCTATCTATCTATCTATCTATCTATCTATCTATCTATCTATCTATCTATCTATCTATCTATCTATCTATCTATCTATCTATCTATCTATCTATCTATCTATCTATCTATCTATCTATCTATCTATCTATCTATCTATCTATCTATCTATCTATCTATCTATCTATCTATCTATCTATCTATCTATCTATCTATCTATCTATCTATCTATCTATCTATCTATCTATCTATCTATCTATCTATCTATCTATCTATCTATCTATCTATCTATCTATCTATCTATCTATCTATCTATCTATCTATCTATCTATCTATCTATCTATCTATCTATCTATCTATCTATCTATCTATCTATCTATCTATCTATCTATCTATCTATCTATCTATCTATCTATCTATCTATCTATCTATCTATCTATCTATCTATCTATCTATCTATCTATCTATCTATCTATCTATCTATCTATCTATCTATCTATCTATCTATCTATCTATCTATCTATCTATCTATCTATCTATCTATCTATCTATCTATCTATCTATCTATCTATCTATCTATCTATCTATCTATCTATCTATCTATCTATCTATCTATCTATCTATCTATCTATCTATCTATCTATCTATCTATCTATCTATCTATCTATCTATCTATCTATCTATCTATCTATCTATCTATCTATCTATCTATCTATCTATCTATCTATCTATCTATCTATCTATCTATCTATCTATCTATCTATCTATCTATCTATCTATCTATCTATCTATCTATCTATCTATCTATCTATCTATCTATCTATCTATCTATCTATCTATCTATCTATCTATCTATCTATCTATCTATCTATCTATCTATCTATCTATCTATCTATCTATCTATCTATCTATCTATCTATCTATCTATCTATCTATCTATCTATCTATCTATCTATCTATCTATCTATCTATCTATCTATCTATCTATCTATCTATCTATCTATCTATCTATCTATCTATCTATCTATCTATCTATCTATCTATCTATCTATCTATCTATCTATCTATCTATCTATCTATCTATCTATCTATCTATCTATCTATCTATCTATCTATCTATCTATCTATCTATCTATCTATCTATCTATCTATCTATCTATCTATCTATCTATCTATCTATCTATCTATCTATCTATCTATCTATCTATCTATCTATCTATCTATCTATCTATCTATCTATCTATCTATCTATCTATCTATCTATCTATCTATCTATCTATCTATCTATCTATCTATCTATCTATCTATCTATCTATCTATCTATCTATCTATCTATCTATCTATCTATCTATCTATCTATCTATCTATCTATCTATCTATCTATCTATCTATCTATCTATCTATCTATCTATCTATCTATCTATCTATCTATCTATCTATCTATCTATCTATCTATCTATCTATCTATCTATCTATCTATCTATCTATCTATCTATCTATCTATCTATCTATCTATCTATCTATCTATCTATCTATCTATCTATCTATCTATCTATCTATCTATCTATCTATCTATCTATCTATCTATCTATCTATCTATCTATCTATCTATCTATCTATCTATCTATCTATCTATCTATCTATCTATCTATCTATCTATCTATCTATCTATCTATCTATCTATCTATCTATCTATCTGTCTGTCTGTCTGTCTGTCTGTCTATATCTATCTATCTATCTATCTATCTATCTATCAGTCCGTCTGTGTATCTATCCATCTATCTATCTATCTATCTATCTATCTATCTGTCTGTGTATCTATCTATCTATCTATCTATCCATCTGTGTATCTATCTATCTATCTATCTATCTATCTATCCGTCTGTGTATCTATCTATCTATCTATCTATCTGTCTGTCTGTCTGTCTGTCTGTCTGTCTGTCTATCTGTTTTTCAGACATGTCTTTGTTTTTATTGCACACAGTATCATCTGTGAAGCCAAACACGAGTCGTCAGACAGTCTGTAACACTGAGCTCAAACATCGCTGGCGGCAGACTGTTTATTGGGGCCATTCACAGCAGCAGCTGGAGAGATCATGTATGAAGCTGGTCACGCCGTGGTCAACGCAGCTTCTAAATACTTCAGCGTGAGCAGATGGACGTCATGAAGCAGATTAGTAATGTAGGTCCATTCATGACAGCTCAGACTGATCTTTCTGTATTGTTTTTAGGCAGAAAACAAAGCAAACCACGATGCTTTGGTGCATTGCTCATAGGATTTGAGTAATCTGCAAATGAGTAAACAACATAGTGAACCTGCTGCCCCTTGGCTAGAAGAACTAGCTTGTGCTTCTTTTTGATATCATTACATTAGCAGAGCCTTACAGGAGGGTGGTGTTGGTTGCAACCAAAAAAGAAAAGAAATAAAATTGTGTTATGATTTATTAATCCTCATGTTGTTCCAAACATCCTTTCTTTCATTTGTGAAACACAAAAGAAGATATTTTGAAAGTCAGTGGGGTCCATTTATTTTGGTATTCACTGAACTTCATTGTATGGAGAAAAAGGTTCTTCAAAATATCTGTATATGTAATAATTGTATTTGTTTTGTTTTGAATTTCATAAAATTATAAAATAGTAATTATTTAACAATTACAAAAAAATCCAAACTTTAACAGTAATATCAAAATCCCACGAAATTGATAAAATGAATACATTTTTAATAATCATAGTTTTTGTTTGTTTGATCAGAGATTTCATTATATACAGTTATTTTTGCCAGTGGCATCTTGTATTTTTTAATAATACAATATTTTTAAATAATTATTTTAATTTCAATCATTTACAAATTATTATAATATTTGTTACAGTTAATTACTATTTATGTGTCAATTCAAATTAATATTTTGTCAATAAAAATTTCCTTTTTATAAATTATCAATTTTTTATTGAATATTTAACAATAGCAAATAAATGAATGTATATGTAAGTAAATATATATAAAATTAGTTTATTTAAAAAAAAATTGTTTTGTATTTTTTGTTTAATCATCATCCAGACCATATGCAAAGATTTTCTAATTTTTTGCCAGTAGTTTCTTGTATTTTTAATAATTAATAGCATTTAAAATTAGTAACTATTTATTAATTTTACATATTTTTATTCATTAGAAAATCTAAATAGTAAATATTTTTCAAAGCAAATTAACTTATATAAATATATCAAATAAATTATTATTAGTTATATTTTTTAAGTAAATAAACTAAACTTTTTGGGTGGACTATCTCTCTCTCTCTATATATATATATATACACACCACAGTGCATCCTGTGCTATCATTTTCAGTCGAACTGTGCAGGACT